TTGATTACAGGGTAGAAAATGCTTTTGTAACCAATGGTTTTCAATGCTTTTTTCAACTAGTATGTCTAAGTTTATCACGGGAGACCTGGGCTAACATATTTTAATGATCCTAAACAAATAATATCAGGTGGCTTTACTGGTTACAAATATTTTTGAATTCTTAGCAAATGCAAAACAAAGTGAATTTAAAAAAAATGCTTCATCAAACCTTTTTTTTTTAAAGCCTGCTTTATCAGATAGCAAGCCTCGCAGTTACAGGATCCCTGTAACCCTCATCCTGAGAGCTAAAAATCTAGTAGGAGGGGCAAGCGATACAAAAAGGTAATTGTGTGGGATAAGTTCATGGAAGAAGTAAAAAGACAGTTATGTTGAGTTGGGAGAGGTGAGTTTTCAGGGATCGCCTAAAGTTGGACAGCGTAGGAGATAAGCAGAAACATTGGGGTAAGGAGTTCCAGGGATGGGAGATACTCTAGAGAAGTCCTGGAGGAGAGCATGGGAGGAGGTGATGAGTCAGGAGGTCTTGAGAGGATGGTTTGTGTGATATTTTAAGATAAGGTTGGTGATGTAGCTAGGGGAAAGTTGTAGATGACTCAGTATGATATTATTATTATTATACAGGATTTATGTATAGCGCCAACAGTTTGCGCAGCGCTTTACAATATAAGGAAGACATTACAATCACAATTCAAGACAAGAGGGTAAGGAGAGCCCTGCCCCTGAGGGCTTAAAATCTAAAAGGGAGGGACACGTGATACATGAGGAGGAAGCTGTGTGGGGATAAATTGTTTGAAAACGTGATGGATGAGTGGTTAGTTTGAGGGATCGCCTAAAGGCAATCAGAATAGGAGATAGATGGACAGGTTGGGGTCAAGAGTTCCAGAGGATGGGAGAGACTCTAGAGAAGTCCTGGAGGCGAGCATGGGAGGAGTTGACGAGGGAGCTGAAAAGCAGGAGGTATTTGGAAGAGCGGAGCGGACAGTTAGGGCGATATTTTGAGACAAGGTTTGAGATCTAGCCGGGGGCAGAGTTGTGGATGGCTTTGTAAGTCGTTATTATTTTGAATTTTATCCTTTGGGCTATTGGAAGCCAGTGCATGGATTTGCAGAGGGGGGTTGCAGACACTGAGCGGTTGGTTAGGTGAATGAATCTAGCAGCAGCATTCATGATAGACTGAAGGGGGGTTAACCTGTGTAGAGGTAGACCAATGAGGAGGGAATTGCAATAGTCAAGACGAGAGATAACAAGGGAGTGGATGAGTAATTTTGCAGTTGTTAGTATCCTGAATCTTATTTGTCAATTGAAGAGATTGGCAGAAAGAGGCAGCTGGCACTTAATGGTTGTTAAGTCTGTCAGCAGCATTCATGATGTATTAGGTCTCATCTGCACAGGAGCCCAATGTGGCTCAATATTTGAACATGCTTTTCCACTTCGTAGAAATAAAAATATTGGTAGCCAGTAGTACCACAATGCAAGCAATGCATGCAAAATTATCTATGGTAGCTATGGTAGTTTAACAAATGTATATTCCCATAGCTATGATTGTCTCCTTTAAAGAAACAATTTAACAAAATCTGTAAAGGATCAACTAATATATACATGTATGGGACAGTGACATCAATTGGATAATTTAGACAGTTACCCAAAGAATTCAACATGTGCAGCATTTAATTGGGCCCTCAATTTCTCAGCATCAGTCATCACTTAAAAAGTAAAAAAAACCCCACAAGTTTCAATGGAGGGTAGGGAATATTGCCTCTGTAAAGTTGCCTGTACCTACAATAAGCAGCAGCCTTTCATCTTTTCACATTAAACCTCTTAAATGGTCAATAGCCACATACAGAGAGCACCTACAAGTCACATAGTTTGGGAGCTCAGAACCGGGTGCATATTCCAACCATTTCTTGTGTTTGTGGGCTCAGACCAACCTCCTTTCACGCTACAATAAGTCAAATTGTAAGGTACAAGAGGTAGGCTTGAGCTCTTCACCTAAGAATCTGATCCAAATTATAATTAACATAAGATAATTCCACAAAAAGCAAAACCAGTGCCAGATAGGAACCTCCTTCAGCCACAAATTGAATCTTGTGTTCCAGACAGGCCACCCCGGTTACAGATGAGGGATTACATTGTGTGAAACATAAAAAAAACCCCACAAATAATCCTTTTATTTGTTTAGAAAGATTAAAAGTGATAAATGGTACTCACAAAAGAGGTGGATAAAAAGCGTGTTGGACATAAATCTCAGGATGCATGCAGATTCCTAGCAGTCAGAGAAAACAATCCAAATATGCTGCTGGACCAGCAGAAACAAACTGACTCAGCTGAACGCATTTTCGGGGAGTTTCCCCTTCCTCAGAGTTGGGCTAGCTCCGTGAGTAAATTGTGAGTACCATTTATCACTTTTATTCTTTCTAAACAAATAAAAGGATTTTTTGCACCAGGTAAGGCGCCCGGTGTTTCTTTTTTATTAACATTAGATACCCTGGGTCTTGGGCTCCCAGAATGTTCTACGCAGTCTATAACTATTCAGGCATGACTGCTTTTCATGCCTGGTGACACCTAAGACGATTTAAAGTGAAAACAGATTCACTTTAATTATGATTGTGCTCATAAAACACATACTTTGTAAAGCCTACACAGCTAAGGAATTGCACTGAGGCTAAGCACTAAAATGCTTTACATGGAGTACTATATATAAGCAGAGCCCACCTAAGCTGTTATATATTCCTAAAACATGACTGTATTCACTGCTTACAAAATGAAAGCATCAATTGAACCATTTGTTCTTGGGTGAATTTCATCATGGTTTTCTCTGCCATGTTTGTCTGCTTTGTACAAGCACAATTGAGATACATCACCCACAGAATGGCTTTTATCTGCATTTGCACGGCTGGGCAATGAACTGGTTTGCTGCATAAGTGGATTCATGTATTTGTTGACAATCCTCTAGAAGTGGCACAGATATGCCACAAACCGTGCTTCAACATTTCTGTGTCATCACCCCCTCTAATGTGTTTTATAAGAAGGGGTTATATAGGGAACCCACTCAAACCAGTCACCTTTCATCCAGGCAGTGGTAGGAACACAGCCAGGTAGGGAAAATCTCCCCATTCCGGTCACATACACAATAAAATATCTGATTACAGATTAAACCCTGTCACACTCATCATAAAACAAAAATAACCTTTTGTGTGGATTTTCAGTTGAATACTGAAATTCCATCCATTGTACACATTCTATTTACAGTTATAACAATACCAATATGTATAACACACAAATAAATACACTTTTACATATTAAATTATGGTCATAAATATCTTCTCTACTTCATAGCAATAAATAAATAATTTTGGATTATTTTTCATTTATACATAATCAACACTTAAAGTAATTCAATAAACACTTAACACATTAGAACATTTGTTCTGATAGGAAATAAAAATATCTTCTATTACTGTACATAGACAAAGTAACATTTTTCTAAAGTCCAGCTCTGCCTTTCAAATGGCCATTGGTTGATTCTTTCGGCACAGTCATGGCACAGTCATCTGGCATTACAGCTTTTCAAAAAAATTGTTCATTAGTTTCTTCTGTATCTTTACAGTGTTTTAAGACTTTTTGGAGCCTGGCTTAAATAATTAAATAATATACCTTTGCTTGGCTAGTATAAAGCAAAATCAATTCTCAAGTTAAAATACCTTTTTGTTACAGTCCTTAATATTGTAAAGTTGTTTTTTTCATTGCACAGTGTTGGATTTTTCAAATTATTTACAATCCTCAAAAACATTTTAATGCAAAATGAATTTCAACACAGGTTTACACATAACTTCACCATTATAGTTAACAAAATTCTCCACTGGCAATAACATAAATGAAAATAGGCAGCAATGTTATAATGCCATGAAAACCAAATTTAACCAATTAAACGAAACCTTTAGTTTCCCTTTGGAGGTGCAATTCGAAATTAAAAATAATGTAAACTTCAAATACTATTGCAAACTCCATACATTTTTATAACCCCAACAATACTTGTAAAGCATCAGCATTTTCTATGTTGTTAAGGTTATGTAGAATTGATTAAATATTGAATACATTTACATTTTTTGGTACATTTTCTCAGACCAGCCCAGTGCTCTTTGGTTTAACTCCCATCACAGCATAGAGCCATGTTAACTGCTCATGTCACTCAATTTTATATTGAGTTGTTGACTGAACTACTGAAATGTGATAGGGTACATGACAATCCTTTAACAAAATCATGCTTCACAATGTTCAGTAAATATTCATACCATAAAAGTGCCCTTGGGTTACCACTAGAGGGCAAGTTCTTTATCATACGCGTAGCGATGCCTTGTAACTTGCCAGGACATTTCCGAGTGCCAGTGAGTAATAAAATAAAGGCACAACATACCTCATCATTAAGTTCATGCTCATTATCTTCTCAGGAGATATTCATAATCATAAAGGTTTTTTTTAAACGTTATGTTCTAAATGTGACCAATCAATCCCCTCCAATAGTTTTGTCTTAAAAATTCTCATTACAATAAACATCATTTAAAAAAAAAGGTCCTCTTAATTGTTAGTTTAAGCCATGTACATGCATATAGTTTTCCATAACAGTTTACAAATTGTCAATTGATATATCTGTACACTCCTTGAATATTGATGCCCCAGTCACTCATGCATATCCATGAGTATGAGCATGTAAATTTATATTTTACTTATGCTTAATAAGTAGAAGCATTTAAATAAATAAATCAATGCAATCTTGTGCTATGAAACCAAGTGTGGCTTTGTAGTGCTATAGGTTGCTTAGTGCAATCAGGTAGGTACTTAGTATTGTATCAAATATTAAGTACACTCCTAGATTTAACGTAACGTTCTTCAATAAAGCATGTCAAATGCACCTAATAAAAGGCAGGGCTGAGTTTTAAAATTCCACAAGATAAATATACGTAGCTGTATCATATTCAACACCTGGACCCAGCGGTCTAAATTCCAAGACGTTTGTGTCCAATGATGTAACTGTAGCACCATCCACTATTTCATTCCTGGAAGCTAGAGTCAACTGTGACTCCATACCCACTTCATGTTCCTCATTCCTGCTATTACACTGTCAACTGCATATGTAGGGCAGCAATTCATTTATATTGTAGAGAAAACTGTGATTACTGCTAACTAGCAAGCATTTTACTGCTTGAATAATTTATCCAGCATAAGCTGAACGGATTTGTTTTCTTTACAGAAAAGGTCTAAAGCATTGTGTGCAGCAGGTGCTATCTGGAGAGAAAGCTTGTAAAACACTTTCAAGATGTGTGCTTTGAAATCCTGCCTTAGCCAAGAATCTCTTCAAAGTTAACAAGTTGTTTAATCTGTTCTGTGTGCATTGAATGCCTTCGAAGCAGCATTTTTTTGCTCTTTGACTCTTTTGGAAAGAGAGGAGCCGAGGGCACGAGCAGTTTTGTCCCTGGGAAAGTAACACTGGATAGTTTACTGTGACTAATGTCTGGAATAGGAGGGTGGGGATTAACATTCAGTGGTGGAAGAAAGCCTGGTCTGGTTTGACTAATATGATCTAGAAGTAAGGCTCCAGATCCACGCCTCTCAAGAATGGCATGGTTCCTTCTACTTAAGGGTGTAACAGACACACTTTCAAGAGACTCCCTGGAACCAGACAGTAGAGAAGGAGGAGAAAACATCTTCTTCTTCTCCAAAAGTGTTTTGCTGTCCTCTGTTACAGCTGGACCATGACACCTAGTGAGCTGGGAATCTGAGCTGTAATGATTGGCTCCTAAATTTCTTCTTTGAACTATGCTCCTCAAGCTTGATACTGATATCGTATTTACCGAGTCAGGATCTTGATCTACTGGAATCTCTGATTTGTTAGGTGTAGCTTCTGGGTACAGGGACTGTGCATGAATTTCATCATATGAAAGTTTCCTCGGACCAGAGGCATCAAATGTTTTTAAAAGATGAGTGGGATCCTTCACATCTATGCTCTGATGTCGAGTGAAGTAGCGCTTGGAATACACTAAGCCATTCATTTTAAGAGAAAGTTCTTCTTCAGGGGTAATATCTTGAAGCTCCTCTTGCAGAGAGGACACTTTATGTTGATGTAGAAGAGATGGTGGGATTTTCAGCCAGGGTTCAGAATGTAACCTCTGTAGGAGTGGTAACCTAGCCCCTATATGCATCATATGAGGCTTCTTTGTTGGAGAACCTGGCTCAGAGGAACCTTTGAATTCAATAGATGTATCAGCCTCTTTGAAGTTAAACAGTTCTTTTTCTGCTTCAAAAGCACTTGAAATCGGCGTAGGAGAGGTTTTAAGCTCAATTTCAGAAGGTGATGTACATGGACTTGGAGAACTGTGGTCATCAATCCCTGGAGAGGGTGGAACGTTTAAATACTGTCTTGTTTTTTGCCTTCCTGAAGGAGATTTATCAGTAGTTATAATGATAACTTCTTTACCTTTAGCCTTGCAAGCATTAAGCAGGATTCTGAGTGTCTCTTTGTCTTCTGAGTTGACCGCATAAACCAAGGCAGAGAAGCCAGTGTGGTCTTGGAGACTGGGGTCAGCTCCACTGTCCAGCAGCAGGAAAACCACCTCAGAACCTGCATTCTCCAAACACGCATGCATAAGCGCTGTTTTCCCAAACTTATCTTGAATGTTTGGATCTGCATTATTCTCCAGTAGATATTTAATCATTTTAACTTTGCTTACACTTTGATGGTCAACATGCTTAGTTTTGCAAGCAATCATTAGCGGGGTTTCTCCACGATCATTGCTCTCATTGATATAAGCTCCTCCTTCCAAAAGAAGTCTTGTGAGACGCAGTCTGCTCTGGTATACAGCTTTAATAAGAGAGTTCCCTTCAGTCGTCACATCTAGGATTTCATCCATTGTTGGTAGTAGCTTTTCACTCTCACAGCTGTAAGAAAACAAAGGACATAAAGTTACTTTATCATGTATATTTACATGTTGTTTTTTTTTTAAATAAAGACAATCTTATAATTATTAAAGCTGAACTTGCTTCTCCACAGCACAGTCCGTACTGACAAAACAGGAGATATGAATTTCTGTTTGCACTGTGACTGGACACTGGAAGGAAAGGGTAGCAGACAAATAAACTCATCTCCCTGTCATGCTGCCCTCTCCTCCTATAAGCAAGCTCCTTGTTAGCACATGAGCATTGCAGGTTTCCTTGTGCTGCTTCTCCTTCTCCCACTCTAAACTTTGCTGTACAAAATAGAGCAAAAGGCCAATGCCAGGTCAAATTCAGGTACTTACACTGCTAGTATTTAAAAAAAAAAAAAATTAAAATTCATAATGAATTCATGAAGAATAAATGAAAAAAAAATGCATTCATTTGTGGTTTTTATATCTGCCTGGAGTTCAGCTTTAAGTATCATTACCATCATTCTGACTTTAGGACTCCTAAACTTAACCTGGCTACATTTCCAGGATCCTTATTAAATTTGTTGGCAACCAACCGATGTAAAGTGTTCCAGTTAAAATTATTTTGCAGAGGGGGAAAGCATTCAACATAAATATTAGGGATGCCGATACCGAGTATTTGGGCAAGTACTCATACTCGCCCAAATGCTCCGATGCCTATCCCGATACTTCCGATACTTCCGGCTTCATGCTCTCTTGTCACCTCATGACGAGAGAACATGGAGCCGGCTTCCCGGCCAATCAGGAAGCCAGGCGTCGTGTCATCAAGGCCACGGCTCCCGGGATTACTCCGCCTGAAAATGATTAGCTAGTCCCCTCTCTCCGTGGGGTACCCTGCTGAACTGATGGGGCCTGTGCGCAGGGCTGCTGGGATTGCAGATTAATATACAAGATGAGAAGGAAGAAAACAGAATTGATCTGATGCTGGGACTCATGGGAGCCATGGGCCATGAGATTACCCCACAAGGGAATTATTGAGTCCCCTCACTGTTCCTAGGCTATCGACCTATCAGCAGC